CGGACCCGGGAGCGCTCCCGGGACAGGGATAGGATGGGACAGGGATGTGACAGGGATGGGGTGGGACGGACCCGGACCCGGGAGCGCTCCCGGGACAGGGATAGGATGGGACAGGGATGTGACAGGGATGGGGTGGGACGGACCCGGACCCGGGAGCGCTCCCGGGACAGGGATAGGATGGGACAGGGATGGGACAGGGATGGGACAGGGATGGGACGGACCCGGACCCGGGAGCGCTCCCGGGACGCGCCGCGCGGACACGCGGGCGGGGGCGGAGCCTCTTCCTTTGACTGACAGCCGAGCCTCCCGCCCCCCGGCCGCGCTCATTGGCCGCTCTCACCCGCGCGGGCTCCCATTGGCCGGTTCCGCCGCCTGGGCGGGGCCAGCGGGGCCCAGGAAGCGGCGGCCGCCCCGGCCCGGCCCCGCCGAGGCTTTTCCTGCCCGAGGGGACCCGGGAGCGGAGCGGGGGGACACCGGGAGCGGTGAGGGGGATGAGGGGAATGGGGGGACACCGGGAGCGGTGAGGGGGATGAGGGGAACGGGGAGACACCGGGAACGGTGAGGGGAACGGGGGACACCGGGAGCGGGGAGGGGAACGGGGGACACCGGGAGCGGGGAGGGGGATGAGGGGAACGGGGACACCGGCGGACCCGGGAGGGGGACAGGAGGGGTGGGATGGAGCCGGGACAGGGCCGGGGTCAGGGGGTGGGATGGAGCCGGTGCCCCCCGCCCTGTCCCGGTGCGGGACCCGCCTCTCCCGGGGCGAAGGGGGCGAAGGGCCCGTGTCCGCTCCAGTCCCCAGCTGGGCACCGTCCAGCGGCCGCTCCCTGTCGGCTCCTCCTGGGGAGGGGAGCTGGGGATCCCTGGGGGGAAGGGGCCGTGTCCCTTGTCCTTGGCTCTGCCCCCTGGGCGCTGGGTTTGGGGTTTGGGTTTGGGTTTGGGTCTGTGTTTGGCTCTGGGTCAGGGTCTAGGTCTGAGTTTGGGTCTGTGTCTAGGTCTACGTTTAGCTCTGGATCAGGGTCTGTGTTTGGCTCTGGGTCAGGGTCTAGGTCTGGGTTTGGGTCCGTGTCCAGGTCTGTGTTTGGGTCTGGGTCAGGGTCAAGGTTTGGGTTTGGGTCTGTATCTAGGTCTGTGTTTGGGTCAAGGTCTAGGTTTGGGTCCGTGTCTAGGTCTGTGTTTGAGTCTGGGTCAGGGTCTAGATTTGGGTTTGGCTTTGGGGTCTGGGGTCGAGGTCTGTGTTTGGGTTTGGGTCTGTGCTTGGAGTCTCTGTTTGGGGTCTGCGTCTGGGCTCTGGCTCTGGGTTTGGGTCTGTGTTTGGGGTCTGGGTTTGGGTCTGTGTTTGGGGTCTGGGTTTGGGTCTGTGTCTGGGCTCTGGCTATGGGTCTGGCTCTGGGTCTGGGTCTGTGTCTGGGCTCTGGCTCTGGGTCTGTGTCTGGGCTCTGGCTCTGGGTCTGTGT